CGACTTGGAGTCGACTTGAAAGGACTCGACTAAAAGTCGACTCGGAGTCGACTAATCCGAGTCGTTTAACACCCCTAGAGTTAGATAAATTCAGATATAGATAAATGGGTGACGGATTATCCGGATTGCAACTCGTTTCTTCAGTTTGTTAAACGATAAGATGAACAATTTACTTTAAAATAGTTATGATAATTGGATACCGTTTATTTTTATTTTATTATTTTTATGAAGATTTGGCGTTAATTAAAAATGATTTTTGCGAAAAATGGTCATCATGACGCAAGTTCTAACAAATTTAAGTATAGCAAATTCCAATAGTAAGGATTTTTTGCCGGTAATACTTCTTAATGGTAAAGTTCTGCGCGCTTTTATTTTACTAAGTTATTTGTAAATCGTATCGGTATTATTGGGCAAACCATTTAGTTACTACGAGCTGTTAATAAGAATAGGATATAGGTTTATACCAAATATATAGTCCGATGTATATACATATAAACATAAATAAAAAGACTCTTAAATAGTTCTATATACCTATATGAAAAATTCTAAATTCGATGACACTCACAATATACACTAACGCTAATAAGGTAGACAATAGCTAAATAAAAACAAAAAGAGTATTTATGAGAAAATAATCCGATGAATTCATTTCGCTTTCTTTACAGCATTAAAAGATATTATAAGATGTCTACGCATGAGTGGCAAGCACCGGGTCCGGATGATAAAAGGTCACCATGCCCCGCATTAAATACTTTAGCTAACCATGGATATCTGTAAGAACATAATCCGTATTCATTTCTTTTAATTTTTAACTTTCGTCGGCATTTTCTCCTTTAAAAAAAAAGCCGAATTTCAATAAAATCTTTGTACTTTTAGTCCTCGTAGTGGAGAAAATATCACGGCAAGTCAATTTATAAAAGCCCTTGAAAAAGGTCTTAATGCCTCACCCTTGGTCGCCAATTATTTAACTTATTCTGCCCTTCAACAACTTGGAAAGCTATTTGATAAATCTATGTATGCAAGGAAAATATAAGTTTAAGAGCTATATCGATATATTAATTAATTATTTTATTTATATATTATTTTTTAAAGCAATCTTGACGATCTAAACGTACACAATAAGATAGAACATGATATATCGTTAACTCGTAAAGATTTTTATCTCGGTGATAACATTAAAGTCGACCCTGAATTAGTTGATTTATTACTCGAACAAAATGTTGATGGAAAAATTAACGAGGAAGCATTATCGAAATCTCATTGGATTCGATTAAACAATTCCAAACAATTTAATCCGACTCTAACGTATAATAACTTTATTTCAGCAGGAGAATCTTCTTTATTATTAAATTTTATTGGCGGTAATACAAATCTTGAAATTGATACTGAAAGATTGGAAGTGTTTTTGAAACATGAAAGGTTTCCCGAAGGGTGGAGAAAGCCCGACAAAGCGGTTGGAGTTTGGCCACTAATTACCGTTGTACGCTCATTGCTTCAAAGATATGACCAATTGGGGAAAGAACAGAAGGAACAAAATGTTAGCTAATTTTGTCGAATTGTTCATATCTTTTTATGAAAATATGGGTTAATATATGAAGATCAATGCTATATAAAAATATTTTCTAATCAAAAAAAAAAAAAAAGGATTTTTTTTAAAGCATGCGGATGGGGGTTTTTTTATTATAGCAACAAAGTTAGCAGTTATTGTTGTTTTGTTTTTAAAAAATAAAAAATATTCATAAATATGAAAACACGCGAATAAAACACTTAGAAAAAGGAAAATAATTATTAGTAAGATATCTGCCAACTAAAATTCAATTTTTTTACGTGTTTAAAGGAACTTATCAAGATAATACGAAATTAGAACGATTTAAAAGAATAAAAATTGACAATAGCTAAATATACAAATAATAATTTTTTTGTACAAAACTACACAAAGATAAAATTTTACACATAATTTACATGTTCTACATATAATATAAAAATTTTTTTAACAAGGTTGTTTAAACCGTCACGCGAGAAAGTTATACGGTGTGTGATCTCAAAGGTCCATATAGTATCCGTTCCTATTATCGAAACAAATCGATAAATGACTATATCAAAAATAAGAAAATTGCTTTAAAAAACATCTTTAAATGAAAAAATAATAGTTTACAAACCCAGAAACTTCTTCGTCGGTGTCCCTCTCGTTTAATTATCTTGGTCAGTTCGCTAACACGCTTTTTTGCAGTTTCATGTCCATTCTCAGCTGCTTTTGTATACCATTCAAGTGCCTTTTCTAAATCTTTAACCGTACCTCGACCGTATTCATAACACACACCCACTCGACATTGTGCTGTAGCATGTCCTTTTTCAGCGGATGCTTTGAAGAACTCAAATGCTTTATATGGATCACAAGCTGTACCAAATCCAATATCATAACACCACCCAATATTATTATACGCGGAAACACATCCCCGATTGGCTGCAAGTTGAAAGTATTGGAATGCTTTATGTTGATTTTTGGTTGTTCCCATTCCTTTGAAATAACACCATCCTACATAAATTTCTCCACGTGAATCTCTCATCTCAGCTACTTTAGAATAAAATTCGAATGCCATCTGTGGATTTGGTGCTGTTCCGAAACCATGTTGACTAAAAAATCCTAATACAAAATAATAGTCAGGAGTTTTTGATGGATTGGCCTCAAAAATTGCGTAAATGTCTTTGGGTTTCATTCCTTTTTCGCGGCATAGAATTGCTAATTTTTTTAGCATTATATCATCCGTGAATTTTTCCCAATTGTCGCATATGCACATTACATCTTCCATTAAACTAAGTTCGGGTTTAGATGCTAAAAGACTTCTTTCAAACGGCGGAATTTGTGGAGTCACGGGTGAATCATTAGGTAATGCTTGATAATCCACATTTACTTTGATTTTTGATGGATATTTATCAACAATCATATCATTTTTGGTAGGTTCGTTACTAGAAGGGCCGGAAATACTACGTCGATTACAAGCATTACATTCGTTGCTACTTGGCTGATAATAAGTCGCAGAGCTACTTGACTGACTATTCATTTCTAAGCTATCTTTTCGACGGTTACAACTACTATCTACACTGCCCTTTCGAAGTTTATTATCTTGTCTGTAATTACCGCCGATCGGTGATTTAATTTCATTAGGTACTTCTATGCCTGCCTTTTCAAGGCCGAGATCTTTTTCACTATCTATTGGCGTCTCAATCGATGTGGACGTTGATCCACGATTACTACTAGTGTCAGAGTAATTGTAAGCAGACATGACTTCGTCATCTTCATCGGGTTCAAGGTAATCAATGGATAAATCATCATCTATGCTGACATTTTTTTCTTTATCATCATCTGTAACTAAAAAAGAAAATTAAAAATAAAATAGTAACTTTAATAATAATATAGGTAAGAATAATGACATAGTTATGACATTAAAAGAAATCTTACGATCATCATCAAACAAATCTTCTAATTCAAGTCTTGCTATTGCCAGATCAAGTCGTTCACCCGGATTGTATTTAGTTAGGTCTAAAATAAGTTGGCAATATTCTGACGAAGTAGTACTCGGTAGCTGTTTTATAAGACGAAGCATTGAATTCTGGTTTCGCTTCTGTTCTTTAATCTCATCATCGTCCATGCCTTCGTAAGGATGTTCACCATCTTTGGCAACTATTAGGAAGCATTTATCAGAAATAATTTAAGAATAAAATATATACAAACTTATGATAGGCTTACCTGACCATACGATTAATCCGAAAGAATATATATCAGAGAGTTTAGGATGGCTGTGGTATGTAACTAAAGTGAAATCGCGTTAAGGAGATTAAAAGAAACTTAAATAAGATAAACATACTTTTCAAAGAGTTCTTTCATTTTGAGATCACGGCAGACTCTTTCTGGAGCTACATAATTCAAAGTTCCACCGGCTTTTCCATTATCCAAAACCATTCGACTTTTAGTTTTTGAAATTCCAAAATCAGCCAATTTTGGAATTAAAGATTTGTCCAAGAGAATATTTTCAGGTTTAAGGTCAAAATGCAATACATTATTATCATGACAATGCATCAATCCCAGAGCAATATCACGACAAATTCTGGCTTTAATTTTACAATCAACGGTGTGAGTTTTAAGGTAGCTAGAAAGATTGCCATTTGAAGCATACTCTAGAACCAGAGAAAATGTATATTTATCATCACGTATTACACCATAAAACTTTAATATATTGTTGTGGTTACGAAGTTTAAGATAATTGCTATATTCTTTTAATAATAGGTCCATCTCCCGCTGGTAACATTTATTATTGTACACAGATAAACAGCAAACGAAAACAAAAAGATAAGTAATAATAATGACTCGTTAAATAAGCAAGATTATGATGAGCTTACATGACTTTTTTTCACAACCACAAGTTTATTCTGAAAAGTGGCTAAATACACTTCACCCATAGCACCCCGTCCGATAGCAACTGGTGGCTGTGATAAGGCAACTTTGCTCTTTCTTATTAATATTCTATCGGTGGACATGTTTTCTATCTTTATTTTTAAAAAATAAATATATAATTAAAAGTTAAAAGGAAGGAATTGAGTGAAAGTGTTAAGATGGAGAGAAACGGAAAAAAAAACAAGATATTCAAAATGCAATAATAGTTATGACACTAACTCTTGAAAAAGATGGAATACCCCCGGATTACGTATAAACTAATTCAAAGTCTTGAAGATGATCGCGTACTAAATTGGCGCGGAAGTTTTCAATGGCGCGCATTATTAATATTGGTTAGAATCCAAATTAAACTTGTCATTGTCAGCTAATAGAAATCACTATTGCATTACGTGTTACTGAAGGTTGTCTATATGCAGTTTATGAAGTATCCGAATGTTGTATTACTGTCTTGTATAGATATATTAATAAATTTAACATTGTTCGTGTTGCAATGAGAAAATTCCAACTTTTCATGGATCCATGCGAAATCCACGCATCGTCAAAATCTATTCACCAAGAATTCGTAAATATATGATTTTCTTTACATTTTATAAACATATGAATAGGCGCAAAACATAAATATTTAACCGTTTGGAGATCATGAGCTCATTTATCTCCGTAAGATTATTATACAGGCGCAGATATCAAGAAATAGTACGATCTTCTATTGCAGAGAGATCCCTTTGATCAGATATTCTATGCATTCGACGTTCTTGAGTAACTTAATATGGCTCATTCAAAAGCCAATTTTTTTAATTTAAGAAGAAAAGATTCGTCATTGGCATTGTGATACATTGACACATTCCGATTTTTGTAACAACTTTAAAATTCGGTCTTATGAACCTACATCCCCTAAACCTAGCTAATGTATCTTAATAGTTTAAGTGCATTCTGCGATTTCATATAAGGACTAGCTTAGTTCTCAAAATCAAGTTTTCAAATAATTACGTTATGGATCTACAAATAGGGCAAAGTTTAAGGCGTACGTGCAGATTGCTAAAATAATCCAACTGGCAAGTTGATGATTTCATATTGCATATAATCATTGTATATTAAAAAAAAAAAAAAAAGCAATTATTATGTTTTGGATAAGTTTCTCGTTTAATCCAGGGCTTTCTGGTGATGCTAAACCAAATAATTAACTCACGTGCGAATTTAACTAGCAGAAAAATCTCTCTATCGATCATTTATTATAATTATTATTGTTGTTCAATTGTCTTGTTCGCTTTCCCATGGTACATTGTCTGCCATAATTGGTATTCTCTTGCTTTATAACGTTAGCTTTTTACAATTAATTTTGAATTATGAATGGGGAATATCCCTTCTACTTATGCTTACAATTTCAATGTGTCATTTTAAGATATCATTATCGCTATATGTAAAAAAAAGAAAAATTTCCACGTACCAGTTAATTATCGTTATTGTCAATCATTCAAAAACAGTTTGATTTTTAGAACGTCTGATAGAAAACTTAAATCTAGATGCAGTTTGTTTGAAACTACTTTCAGAAAGATCTATGATCTTCACAATCAAAGTTATACAAACCATTCTTCTCAAAAATATGTATTGCAGATCAATGAGACATTGCTTCTCAATAATTTAATTGAACCATGTACGTATTCAGAACGAGTAAAGAATGATTTATTCGACGTATATTCAAACCCTGTCGGTGTCTTGGTGCAAAAGCTCATAGTTCCTATAACGATATATCTCAAAGATTGTTTACATTAAATTATTTCAATACGTATATAGTTGAATATATGAATAAAAAATGATTATCTTACGTATTAATTACCGGTAATATATAATTATAATTAATACGTATATATAATTTGTCACCAAATCCAATTACTGATTCATATGTATTTTTTTATTTCCTAACAACCTTCAGGAATGTTTATTACGTACGTATAGAATTTACATAGTATCTGTTAATATATATCTCTTAAGTGTAGAATTAAATATATGTAAGTTACGTATTATTTTTCGAAGGCCGGTATAAATAATTGCATTATAAGCAACCTCGAAATAAATTTGTTTTTTTACAATTGACA